AGAGAAAATGTAAATTATAAGTTTTTTTCTTTTTCTAATAATTTAGACAATTAATTCCAATAATTTAATAACTAATTCTAGTGTTAATTAATTATAATAAGTTATAATATATATTAGACATTGTCTTCTTCTTTTTTTATACTGACAAAAAATATGATTTCAAAATAAATATGTTCTTATAAAATTTTAATAGTTTAGAAAATAGATATTTTATTTATTAAACCCAACAATATACTTCTGCGATAATTAAAGTTTTTAAAGTTTTTTCAACTTAATAACAAATTAGTACAATTAAAACTAAAACTCTTTTCATTTTTATTATTCCTTCCATATTGTAATCATTATAATAAAAACATAATTCACTTCACCAATGAATCAATGTGAAAGATAAAAATCACAACAAAACGATCAAAAGAAAAACAAGAATACAATAAAGCAATAATTATTCTTTTTTTACGATTCAAAATTCTAACGAAATAGACATAGAGACGCATTTCAACATTTTTGTTGAGATGATGCAAATCAATAAAAAATTTTACGAACGTGTTTGATGGAAGAAAAAATGACCAAACATATTTTTTAAGTTTACATTACATTGTATTATCTCACATAATATATGTCTCTTACAAGTTTATGTCAATTCATATACAAATTTTTATTAATGAATCAATAATAATTTTTTACAAATGTTTAGTCTTTGAACCTAAATAATTATATACTATAAACATCAATTGACTTTAATATTAATTCACAAATAATCAATAAGCTAAAAACTATTGTATATTTTTTCCTGTTAATTTTTAAATCCACACAACGCGTGGACAATCCCTAGTATAATATAACATTTTAAGGTTTCTCAAAACCAAAGTTATGAGAGGCTGCCATGTGTCATCTAATTTATTTACTTTTGGCTTTTTAATTTATATATTAAAAAATGAAAATTTAATTCTCTTAATAACTTTATCAATTAGTTGTAACAATTTAATAGGTAATTCTTATGTAAATTAATTCAAACAAATTACATTTAAGTGTCTTATGCACATTTATGTAATTTTTATGTAAATATATGTATATAAATATATATTTCATTTACCAAATTAAACAGTATACTATACAAAAAAAAAACGTATATAACTTAAAATTATTTTAAGGTTTTCTCAAAACCAAAGTCATGAGAAACTGCCACGTGTCATCTAATTTTTTGACATTTGGATTTTTAATTTATTTATTAAAAAATAAAAATTAAACGTCTTTTAATAACTTTATCAATTATTTCTAATAATTTAATAGGTAATTTTTATATAAATTAATTCCAATAAATTACATTTAACTATCTTGTGCACCTTTATGTAATTCTTATGTAAATATATGTATACAAAATATATTCATTTACCAAATTAAACAGTATACTATACAAAAACACGTTTAAAAGTTAAAATTTTGGCTTTTATATAGGTAAATCTGATTTTAAAACAAAAATCAGAGAAGATATATTGTAATAAAAATGCATAACATGAAAAAAAAATGATATGCGATATTAAAATAAAAAGATTTTAAGATGCATAACGTTTTATTAAATGTTTTCATAGTTTTTAAAGTCAATTTACCAATCACTTCCTAGTACAATTAAAAAAAGTTGTGTTGGACAAAATAACTCTCCTAACCAAGATTTTCGAAAGAACCTTACTCCACCACAAATTGTAAATCTAGAAAAAAAATTCATTTTGCCAATGAATCAGTGTGAAAGATAAATATCACAGCAAATCGACAAATAAAGTGATATACAAATACAATCAAGCATCAATTATTCTCTCATTATGATTCAAGATTCTAATGAAATAAACAGAAAGATGCATTCTGCCAATTCTGTTGAGGATATGCAGATGTCTCTATAGAAGCAAAATATACTATAATATGTCTAATCAATAGATATTTACAATCGTTGTTTTAAGAAACCGTAGTGAATATAGATAAATACATACAAGTTAATGATTTATGTCAACAAAGATGTTTTCTTATGTTGTAACAGTCTTTTCTTTTTTTTGCCTATTACATTGTATTTATACAACAATTTGGTGCAAATGGTTAGTT